TGGGATTTATTTTAATGGACCAGTATTCAGATTCTCTAGTATAGGCTTAGACAGTGTCAAAGACAAACCATTTTAGCTAGGCTGTCACTTGGACCACTGAATGACCGATAAATTTTGGTGGCCTAGACAACTTTTTTAGTGGTCCAATAATTCCTATACATCAGGGCTTTTTTTCACAGTTTGGGGAAGCAGCCCAGCCCTTAATTTTGGGGAAAAATTACATGGTATATTTGCAAAAGGGGAAGAAAAAACTTAATGTAAATTCAATTTTTGGGGAAAACTGCATGATTTTAAAGAAACTTTCTTTGGGGAAGCAGCCCTATACCGGCCCCTGTTATAGAAGGTAAAAAGGCCCTGTACATGCACAGAAATCTAGAGATTAAATCACACACAAACACACACATAAATCAAAAACAAACAGAAAACATGATTTCTGTTTCAAATAAATTTTTGGAGGTATCTTATTGTGATTTAAAAATACAGTCTGTCAGTAATGTGTTATTTTAAAATACAGACATGATGTAGGCTTATTGAACATCATCTTTTCTTGTTGATCTTGTTCTAAATATATAACTAGATCTACATAAATTAATGGTCATATAAAAATATTGTTTCTTTATGAAAAACTTTTTTTTCTAATACAAGTTCAAAATTGCTAAGGTAGTGAACTGTCTGCATACTAGGGTATTGCACTGTCTGGGTGTAAAAAAACTTTCTAGCCATGCATTTTTCAAAACAATATTTTAAATTTCAATATTTTTAAAGGGCATAAGCAAATAATTTCCTGCAGGGAAGCACAGCCAGATTTAACGATGCTTTGTTTTTTATTTATTATTATTGTATATCTTTCCTGTTCAACAAAGAAATAAATGAAAACAGGTCGCGAAAATATGTGACAAATGTCCGTTTACGCATTTTTTCCAGTAAGGTTTAAGTATCTTAACTGTAACTAGGAATAAGCTGGAAATACAATTATTATTTCTATTGTTACAGTCGGCAAATTGTTACAAAATAATGCTTTTAGAAGTGAAGAAAGGTCATTAAAATAATCTCTAGACTCTTCATTTTTTCTAGAGGTCATAAACACGCCGTCTCTGTTTGGGAAAAAAACAGTGCATTTATGATAATACTCACAGTGAATTTCACCGATTGCAGCTTTGAAGGTCTTCTTCTGATAATTTGCTTGGGCTATTTCACCTTCCTCGTTGTATGTCTTTATTGGGGAGACGATATCAGTTCACTGTCGATATGAGACGAAGTGTCTGCCGTCTTTGAATATTGCGCGCACAATAAACCTGTGTTCTACGTAATAAACCTGTGTACTACGTCAGTAACATGTGCTTGATTCGCAAAATTTCGTGTAGTTCCGTTGTTTTTGCCGTCAATACAATGACTGAATAATTTCAATTATATCGTTGAATTTTATTTCACAAATCTATTATTTTAGCCCAACAAGCGCTTGAATTTCATACAAAGCTACAGTAGTTTCCAAAACAATTGTGTTGCTACGTCATCAGTATACGTATTAAATACGTCATGAAATTATGCTCGTCTCGGTTAGCGGACGGAAATTGCTCGAGTATAATCGTAAAGGTTCGCTGGTTAAGTAAAGACTAAGTTATCATCGTTAATTTCCGTCAGCATAAATATGACCTGCCACATATAGGCCTACTTTAATTCAGGCGGAGATTCGGGTTTTGACTCGTGAAAATTTGGAAATGCACAAATTTGACACGTGAAAAAATCTGCACAAGAGTCTATTTGCCACATGGGATTTTCAACTATGCAATAATAATCACCTTAAATCCACCCCTAATTAGATCTACATATGTTCAAATCACAATCAATAAAAATGTCAACAGGCAGTATAAGCCGTGCATAAAGTGGTTTATACACACAGCCTGTGCACTGAAGCATGACATCAGTGGATGCAATTTGACAGCGCTAAAAAATAGCTCTACACAACTGATAAAAATTACATACTTCAGATGTCAATTATTGATTATTTTCTTAAGGTTTATAATACGTCTTTGATTTACTTGGAGTGCCTGAACATTTGTTATTTCTTTTTGGGTTATATATTCCTATTTAATATCTATTAATTAAATGGCCAATGATAAAATTGTCATAATGCAGGTTGACCATTAAGGTCAATTGATTATTAAATTTCAATTAAATAATAATAATAAAAGTAATCCTAGAAAAATATTATTAAATAGATCTAGATCAGTATGTTGTTTTATTTAAAAAAAGAAAGAAAACATTTTTATTTTCAATTTTATTGTCTTCCTTCTTTATTTACTTGTTTACTTTCAACAAAGAGAATTCCTAGTCTTTAGGAATTTATGTAAGATTCAAGGAATTTAGCACAGATGTTAAGGATTTTGTTCTACAAGATAAATTCTAAGTAATTCCTAAAGACTAGGAATTTTGCAAAATCTTAAGTCTTAGAAATCTCAGAAAATAAATTACAATTCCTAGTATAACTTTGAAATTGATGAGTTGTTTAAAAATTATTAGAAATGCCTAGTTCTCAGTAACTGGTATTTCCTAGGCATTACTAGAATAGCCAAGACTGGTTTTAACATTCTGGAATTTTCTAGGATAATAACTGGGAAATACTGGGACTTTTTAAATACCAGTATATCTTTCTGCATGGGTATAGCGCCGCGATATTGGTCATACTTCACATATATTGGGTACTGATTGTACTGAGAGCTTCCAAATATGCAGAAATTATTGTAGCCATGGATGCTTTCATTTTAACATACCAGACCTCTCTTGACTGCAATCACAATATAATATGGTCGAAGAAGATACAAGAATAAAATCTTTCAAAATTATATTGTTATATACAAAAATGATTGCAGCACTGGATGCTTTCAATATAACATGTATGACCTCTCCTGGCTGGAATCCTGATATAATATGTAAGAATAAAATCTCTCAAAAGCATAATTTTCATGAAAGCTTAATTTTTTTTATATAAAATATTCAAGCTTTAATAATATTTTCCTTATGAGTGTAAAAGAATATCGACAATTCACAAAAATTATAATTATTTTTTTATATTAAGTTTCATATTTTGTCAAATATAATATAGGCCCTATTGAAAAAAGACCCAACAAATGGCTGCAACTTAAGTAAAAGGAGCTAAAATATTGTAAAAATAAGAAACGTCTGCTATATTCTGCTATATCTGATATCAAAGTATTGCAACAATATCTCTTTTAACATCCTGATTATGCTAGAATGCAGATAAATTTATTTATCATGTAAAATTCTCTTATCAAACTATCAGCACAGCTGTGCAGGCAACAGACTACCAAATCAATCCTGGCAATAAAATGGAATAAAACATTTAATACATGTGACATTTAATACATGCAACTATTACGCTGTTTATATCATTTTGTTTTAAAATTTTCATCTTTCACAATCAACACCATCATGCTGAATTATATATTATTTTACATATATATACGAACCGTTTACCAGTACAGGGAATTATAGTGGCTAATTTGGAACGCTTTTGTGCGTTGCCGCTTAAGATGGCGTGTTGTAAGACTTTCAGTCTTCTTGTCGTCCTGTCACCAATGATGCATGCCAAACAGGGCGTTGTTGTACGGCATGTTGTGGCAATGACACATTGTTGATCTTCTCAAATCAAAGAATTGGCTTATAAGAAGGCAACAGGGTGACATCCGGCCGAACGACAATGCACCATTTGACGTGCTTTGCTAGAGACAGGATGACAAGGCCACATTGCGACACTGCACCGATTGATGCATTTCGCTAGCGACAAGACAAAAAGGCAATAACAATATAGGTTGTATTGTCCCTATGGACAACGCAACGCGCAAAGTGTACCAAATCAGCCTCCATAGGGAATTGAATATAAGTACATTTAAGTTTTTGCGTGCAAATAGCTATTATGAATTTTCTAAGTGGCTGATTAGCATTTTTGATACAAAATAAAAATAATTAAAAAAACAATTGTTCTTAATTCAATACAAGAGATATTCATTTGCACAACTTCCGAAGGACATGCTACTGTAACATGATTTATGTAAATTATTTCACTTTTTGTAATGTCAACAGCAATACAGGTACCTGTGGTACTTACAGGCTGTCTAGCACCTTCTGACAAAAAATAGGGCAAATTTAAGGGCAAGTTTTAAGAAATTTTAGGGCTAAAATTAGGATTTTTAGGGTAAATAAAAGAAATTTTAGGGCTAAAATTTGGAATTTTATAACTAAATTATGGCCTCAAAAGACCATGATAAGGGCTCAACTTTGCATATTTGACACAAAAGTAGCTCACAAATATAATGCCCTAGTTTGGTTATAGCAAAGGTGTTACCAGTGTTCCATAGTCACCAGTGAATAAATGGATTCACTGGTCAGCTGCCTTTAAAAAGAGCTGAACATAACTAGAATGAAAACATTTTCAAAGTTATAAGTATCCCTGAACAACCAATATTTAATTAGTTAAGCTACGATTAGCCAATAATAAATGGAAGGAGAAATTATGCTTTAAATTTATTTTAGCTATAAATGCATTTCTTGATCTTTCTTAAAAAACAATAAAAACAATATGAAAATTTTTTTATCACAATTTTAAACAGGTGACTATTTTGATATAGTCCAATTTGTACAATTTTCATTGTTCCATTTAAAACAAACAGTTTCTTATCATTTTTCTGATAACATCTGACAATCAAGAAAAGCATTTCTGCAGAAGTTGAAGTAAATACAACTTTATGCAATTTAGTCAGACATGACATCAGCTCCACTGACTGTTTTTGAATTTAGGTTGTGATTGAAACATGGTTGTTTCGGGATATGTTTATCACAAAAGATAAAAAAATAGGTATTAAAGTAGAAAAATAGGGCATTTTTAGGAATTCCCTTCGAATTTTTCATTTTTTTAGGAATTTGAGCCAAACTGAAATTTTTTTTTAGGAATTTTAGGGACGCTGGACAGCCTGTTAACTTACATACTTATATCCTGGGACAGCATGTAATGGAGATATTTAGCGCCATGTCTTTCATCCAGTAACACGCCACACAATGCTATTTTGTCATTTTGATCACTTTAAAATGGCATTTTATCTTCTGTAGGTAAACACTGTAAAATAAAGAAATATATGCCATGGGCATAAGATTTTTGAAATCCATTTTTTATTTTACCAGTTTGAACATTAAAATTAATCAAATTCATTATAATAGTATCAATATAGTACGATTTAAATGCTATGCTTATTATTCATTGATAGGCTGTCAACAGAAAAACTTATCTAGTCAGTAGTGTTGCTTATCCTGTTATAGTATATCCCAGTCACAAGATTCCTTTTTTTTTTCTTTGTTTGATTTTTTTTGTTATATAAAGAAATGAATACTTTTAAATTAAAGCCATTGATACAGTGAAATCATTTCTTATTTGCAGACTCATTTAAATTTTTGTTTTATTATTTATTATTTCCTTCAGATTACTAATTTAAAACATGTTTTATGGCAAGCTTTGAAATAATTACAAAGTGTCAAATAGCATTACTTTATTATTATAACAGAACAATGCGCACCACAATAATTGTGTCTGGAACAATTATGTAAGTCGAAATGATTTATCTAAACGTAGGTCTCCTTGTATTAATTAAAAAAGTAATATTTTCAGTACAATGAATTTTAATTATAAAATATTTACTGCTGAACTTGTGTTACTGATTTGCCCTGTACTAGATCTGGAACAGTCCATTGAATGCTTAAGGGATTCCAGTATTAAATTTACAAAAAAAAAAAAAAAAAAAAAATCAAAAAAATCAGTACAATGAATTTTAATAATAAAATATTATAACCCTAAACTGCTAAACTTGTGTTACTGATTATTACTGCACTGGATTTGGAACAGTCCATTAGATATTTAAGTGATTCCAGTATTAAAATACAATAAAATTGAGCTATCAACAGAATAGAGTCTGGTCAATGTGAACGGTTGTGCAGGCTGGCTTAGCTCTATACTGGTGGCAAAGGATAATTGCTTATGGTTCCAGCAAGTAAATGGTTTGAACTAAAACATAACAAGGGCTTGATGCAAAAGGGTTGTAACTCATATGAATTAAAGAAGGAGTTAAGACCCTTTCACACCAAGCTGTTGAATATTAAGGTTAAATGCTCCCTGTGGTAGAGGTACACATCTCCAGAGTGAGATGTTATAGAGATTTGATTAAGTAAAATACAGGGAAACCTCATTATAGTGGCCTTCTTTAAAGTGGCTGGGTTCCAGTCTGTCGATTTTTTATGTGCTTCTGTTCGGCAAATCGACAGCCTGGGGAAATATGATTTTCGATCGAAGCGCCACCTAGTATACACCCCGAAAATTACGGGTGTTATTTAAAGAACGATAACTCATGCAACGACAACTAGTTGCTAAAAATAGAAACGGAATTTCCACGAAGTGACCCGAAACTCAACGAACATTTACGGAGCCTCGCTTTCAAAACACCATTTCCGATTAAAATAACACTCGTTGACAAAGTTTATTGCATGATGAGTTAATTCGATCAACAGGCTTGATTAGTTAAATTGGATAAAGTTTGTGAGCATCAGAGAATTGTGCTGGACGTAATTTATAATAGTAAATGGCGTCAAATTTTCAACATTCATCATCTTCGCCTCGATTTCGATTTAGTCATGTAATTTGTTGGTCACGTGCTAATCGATCTATTAATAGGATTATCATTAGTCGATAATTACATGGGAAACCCTGCAGGTTTCCCCAGGCGTTGATACTATCAAAACCAGAGATGTTGTGCGTTATCTATGACGATCGAGTACAAAATAGCGCGTAAGTTATAAATAAGCAAAAAATATCAACGCCTTAATCCCAGGCTAGAGCAGCCCTTGTTAGAACAATAACCTCTACAACAACAGTTAGTCGGTTATTTCAAAAGTAAGACATCAAGATATATTTGACATTTCTCAAGCAACAGCTCTCATCATCAAACAAATTTTTTGTGTCTAAAATTAAATAAACCACCAACCTTGGTCATCATGCTGGATGATGCAGCGTCCTCACATTGAAAAGGGACATTCAACATCTATGTTGGCATAAAAACCGGAATCAGTGAGCTGAACGTCATTAAACCCACATGGCCATGGACACCCCATAACAGGAATCAGTGAGTTGAATGTCATTTAACCACTTGGCCACGGACGGCCAATAACCACTTGGCCATGGACACCCCATAACCAGAATCAGGGAGTTGAACGTCATTTAACCACTTGGCCACGGACGCCCCATAACCAGAATCAGTGAGTTGAACGTCATTTAACTACTTGGCCACGGACGCCTCTTAAACCAAAATCAGTAAGTTGAACATCATTTAACCATTTGACCATGGACGCCCCATAATGGGCATCAGTGAGGTGAACATCACTTAACCAGTCAACCACTGCAGCTATCTGCAACACAGAAAATGAAAAAATACTGATTATTATCATATTATTCTAAAGATTATATAATTGTACAACTATATCATTCTAGTGTTGGGCAGAATATCTTGTTGTTTTTTTTTGTTTTTTTTTATGATAGCCCAATAACCGATCCTATTATTATTATTATTATTATATTATAATGTCATACAATTGTTATATTTTTTAGTAATGTTCGTTACTAAAATACACCGTTTCACTTCAATACCAAAAATATAGCCGAATTATGCATCAAAAGCTTTTTTTTCCGAACATAAATATAGGTATATTTAATATATCAAAATTACCAGTATACATTTATCATTATATGGGAAGTACTTTTCATGAAGGTACAATAGATTTTCTCCGGCACATAGGTATGTTAAACATGTCAGGTGTTCCTAATGACTTAAACACATGCAAATGATGAAGTCTGCAGATGTTGAAACAAAATACTGGCGCCCTAATGTTTCATGCAAATTCCTGATTGACTTTTCACAGATACACTTCGTGTACTGGTGAAGTGGGAACCATCCATTGTTCGAAAAAAGAAAAAAAAAGTGAACCAACATCTTTAAGTGCTAAATGTTATTGCGGTAATATTTTAATGTCTGTAAAAAAGTTTCCCGTATAAGGTGCATCGCTCATCTGCAAGCACTCGTCATTTATACTGCAAAAAAATCCTAAGTACAATAAGAGTCTTATTTCTGACAATACACATTAAAACACAGTTATTGCCTCTGGTCTCAATAACTTATTCTAAAATAACAGACACATGCATGAAAACCTCCAGGAGACATTTTTCTAAGAAATATGCATATGACTTAACATTAAGAGCCCAATCTACAATAGCAATAAAGGTATATTCAGAATAATGGAAAAATAATTTTCATTTTAGAAAGGGGAAGTAATTCTCACAAAATGCACATGTTCATTTAAAAGGGAGCTAATTTTGGGGGAAAATGCACTGTGAGTTAAGCTGCACTAGCACATGGTGGTGAGCTAGCAGTTACAATGTTTCCAAACTTTTTTTTTTACTTTTTTTCAAAGGATATTCAAAGTTTATAGGAATTTATTTTAGTTTGATTGTGAAGTAAGCTATAAACTTATTGAAATACTCTTTAAATAATTCCTGGAACTAACAAGTACTAAATAATAAAATTAAAGTATCTTGCTCACCATAAACAACGGCTTGCCCTTTTTAACTTTATTGACATCAAGTTTCTTAAAGCAACCTGCTGTATCTTCATTCATCTCTATGTACAGAGGTGGTGGTGTAAAAAAGACATCTTCAAAATTGTACAGACAATACCTGATTATCAGTGCCATGGCCACAAATTTTTCTTTTGTAGCCTTTCTTGAAATGCGAACAAATAAACAATACCCCTTTTATGAAACAGGATAAATATTCAAATGTTTATGTATTTCTTTAAACCTTAGAATGTGGCAGCATGGCCAAGTGGTTAACACGTCAGACTTGTAATCTAGGGAATACTGGCTGTGTGGGTGCAAACCTCCTCACGGGCAAGCCTTTGTTTCCTTCAGCAAGAAACTTTACACTCATAACTTAGTACTGCTTGGTTCCAGGAATGGATTCAAGAGTGTTTCATACACAATCAAACTAAAATGAATTCGTATAAATTAAACTTAAACATCAGTATCAAGATACATTAATCACCATGCAGATAAATTATTTCAAAGATGAAAGTGCTGGAATATATGTGAGAATAAATTTATGTTACCAAAAAATTATCAGCCCAGCTTTTATCACAGCAGTGTGCATTTTATTAAGCTATCACTGTGAGTAGTAAACATGTTTTTTCACTAGGAGGGAGGGGAAAGAAATGCATTCATTAATGTAATGGAAATAGCACATACTAAGTGAATAATATGATTTATTATTCATACAGTGTGTTGTAGTTTATGCTGATAATCAATCACATGTGCATTAATGTCAAATTTTCTTCACAGGAATAAAGATTATAAGTGTTATAGATGCTTTTCACATAACGATTATTACCTCCCCTGTCCGCCATTTTGAGGGTCATTGATATATCATAAACTTAAGATATTATTACTCTATATGCATACTGCATAACTAATCAAGGGTCATAACTCTCTGTTGAAGGGTCTGACCCAAACAAGGGGATGATATGCACATCTCCTCTTGGTATTTATGGTCCTATAAAGTTTCATTGAATTCCAGCCAGTAGTTGCAGAGAAATAGCGCAGGAACGATAATTGCTCTTTATGCATACTGCAAAATTAATCAAATGCCATAACTTTACGTTGAAGGCTCTGACCCAAACAAGGCAATGTTATGCCCTTCTCCTCTTGGTATTTATGGTTCCCATAAAGTTTCATTGAATTCCTGCCAGTAGTTGCAAAGAAATAGTGCAGAAACAAAATTTGACGTTCTAACAAGGCAATACTTATATGGCTAATCTATTGTTCTCTCTATTGTTTTTTTTAGCCACATAAAGGAAAGTAGCCACAAAAAGCATACAGAATGAATGACATCAAAGAGAAAGTACAGTAACCTATTATTCTTCTAGCCACATAAGTATCCAAATGTAAGGTCGGACAGACAGATGAACGGAAGGACATGCAACCAAACAGGGATAAAGGGCCATTCTATTGTTATTTTTTTTGGTTTAATAGAGGGCCATGGCCCCTTATTCTATTGTTACGGAATGAATTCTGTTGTTCTCTATCCTTCTGTTTATAGTTTAAGTTAGATGGCACACTATCCCTATATTTGGTAGTGCGGACAGACGGACGGCCGTACAATGCCAAAACAATATTCCCCTCCTGATACATTGGCGGGGGATAACAAGATGGTAAATGGAAATATTTGAATATGGCATCATTTAAGAGAATTTTTTTTGTCAGTAAAATATTCAATTCATTCATAGCATAAGCAATTCTTTTCAGTTTCTTAATGTATAATTCAATTTTAGTTTTATAAAACAATTAAAATAAAATTAGGACCATTTGTTCCTGATCTTCTCTGAATCTCTCTAAAATAAGAAACAATTTAATTATAAAAATTGTTATTCATTATTATGATCATATATATAATACAGGATTTTATTTTTTTTATGATTTTACATAACTTGAGTGTCATTAATTGTTACTTTTTTAAATAAAAAATATTTGGATTTTTCGGATTGCTAATTTATTATGGTTTATAAATATATGTGGTAAGATTTTTTTTCTTTTACAAAATGTGGTGGTGGGGGTTGGGGGGAGTTAATAAAGAGTGGTTGGTGGGTATTAAATGGAAACAATAAGGTATTTCATAAAACAAAAAGTTAAGGAACTGATTCCTTATCCTTTCATATTTACAAAAGTTTCATGCCTATGTGGACAAAATTATTCTCACTATTATAACAGGGTACAGGTGTTACATTTAGTCTGGATAAAAATCTTTTTACCATAAAATGGTCTAATAATTGCCTCAATATATTTAAAAACATATGAATTTATAACATATGATAAAAAAATTCACAGATAATTGAAGCATTAATGGTTTACATTGGAATGACACTTTCCAGTGATTTTAAGATTTTTTTTCTATTCAGATTCAACCACAAAATGAAGGCTGCTACTGTGTCTTTTCTTTCCAGCAGATTGTTTTTTGTCCTTGCAGATGTGTAAAATTTTAAACCTTTATTGTTGAGATATACACAACAATTAAACACCTGTATAAGCAGACACAGTATATAAAAAAGTTACTTTTCCATGTAATATATAAGCCTGGAGTATATTATACTATAATAATTATATTATGCCTCCTTTCTCTGCCCATCACCAACCTTTTATGAACCAGACAAAAAGTTGACAGAATGACAGACAGACTGACCATTTAAAAAAAAACAACAAATATATAGCACCTTTCATGAGCATTTAAAATGAGTTGGTTACGGTTTTGTGTCTGAATAAACTTCAGTAATAAACAAAAGGGACAGGGCCTGAAGTTGCATACTTTGCTCAAGAGACCGAAAGGCTGAACATTTGACACAATGGCTACTGAGTCATGAATATTTATAACGCCTGCATGTATTTTCTCTCAGGTAAGTGGGTTTGTATGTTTGTTTTTTTTTTGGTTAAATTTTTTGAATATTTCTATTCCTTAAAAAGCAAATTTAGTGACATGTTTGGTTTTAGGTTTCAGCTTTCTAGCTTCTGAGTTGATGAAAAAAATAAACTGGTCATGTATATATTTTTAGATTTGACAAGTAACAATTCTGGTCAGTTTTACCACTCATTTATTCATATCTGTAAGTTTTAAAGTTCATCAAACAAGACAAAATATGTTTCTGTCAATACTGTATGTAATGTTTTAATTTTCATGTTCCAAATAAAGTTTCTTACACAGAAATATTTTGTTTATTTTGTCAACTTTACAACCATGATGGCAGTTAAGAAAAGCATGAAAAATATACCACACATAGAGTCAAAATTCCATATGTTTTAAAGTAGCTAACAAACAAAACATGACAGAATCATTAAAACTTTCACAGGATAAAGTTTAGTTCAAGAAATAAGAAACTGCATCACTTTATTGTGAAAGCTTGCCAATGATTGGCTGTTTGAATAGTCACAAGATGGTGACAACCAATTGGTGGTTGTCAGATCCTAATGCTAATGTTTATTGAAAAACCAGTAAGAATAAATTATAGTGTAGGTGAATTATGTAGTACTTAGCCTTATGATATAGTTTAAAGGAAGACAATATTTACCATAATATATAATGAACAGGATTAGAAAAATAGAATAGAAAAAATGATTTTTTTTATCAAATATATTCTGCTCTGGGTAAAGAAGAAAAATCCAGTTAGTGGTCCTGTTGGGCAAAAGTTCAGAATCCAGGAGACAAACATTTATTCATTTAAAGTGTATAATATCTGATAATTTCTTTTATAAAATTTTAAAAACAATTATGTTGTCTTTATTAACTTATAACTGTTTCTTGAAATAG